GTGGAGTAATTCGGAATATTTGGCCTCGGTAGCGTGGTTGGGTGGGCCACTAGCTTGTGCGGGCCACTAACTTGTGGATTACGTTATGTAATAAATAGCCTCCCATAACCAATCCTCATCACGTGCCGGGTGTCACGTGCATCATCCACGACCACACACCTCAAGGTCGGGCGCAATTCATGGATGTGATGGTGTGTGGGTCGGTCTTCTCTGTACAAATAATCTACAGTCTACCTCCAAGACCCGCCCGTCTGTTTCCTTGCTCCTAGCTGGCTGTCAGAAGTTCCTGAATCTGAGTGTGCCCACCCTAGCATCATCTATCTCGAGACAGATGGTCGGAGCGTGCTCCCTGGAGATTGTCGAGCGTCATGTTTCACTTCAAGACCTTCACGACCACATGTTTGTGTGTCCCAAGCTCAGCCGGAGCTGCCAACCGCGATCCTGCCTCCCCCGCCCGCTGTGGTGTGGCCAACGCCATGCGTGGTGGAGCGTTCATTGGATGCCGTTGCTTTTGCGATGCTGCGATCCGGCTCCGCTGACCACGGTACCTGCAGTGGGCGCCCTGGAGAGTCTCTGGAGTTCGCGGCGTGTGCGGCCTGTCCAGTAGTGCACTTCCAGGCTCACTCGCCTTCCTCATCCTGCTGGGTGCGGTGACGAGGGCGTCCAGGCAGTAGCGTGCTTCCAGGACGCATCTCGTGCCCCCATGCCGGTCCATTATCGGCGCATCGAAGCTCTCACATCCCATCCCCCTTCCGTCGCTGCCGACTGCCACCACGTCCCCACACGCCATCTGGCAGCCCGGGGCGCGATTACTGGCAGCAATCGCCGCAGGGAACCCCGTGGTGGCGCGCATCATGAGCCGGCGCGGGCGCGGTGTGGGAGCGTCGAGAAGGCCACGGCAGGAGACGCAGACAGCCACGGGCGGCGGAGACTGAGCAGGCAGCGCAGAGGCGCGCGCAACGGCCCGCTGGCTGTCCACGGCCGTGTCTGAGTGGAGGCCGGCGGGCCTGAGGGGTGCTGCTCGTGTCACTCCGGGCAAATGATGGAGAGGTGAAGCATGATTCGGCATCCAACGGGTCTGGGTCGAAATCCCGGCCGCCTGGCAGCCCAAACCGCTCCTCGACGGCACGGCCCGGGCGCGAGGCGTGCTGGCCTGCGTGCTGGTGATGCGGCGCGTGTCCCGCGCTGCCTCCTGTTGCTGCTGCGGTGGTTGCGGACTGCTTCTGCTTCGCACGCCGTGGTGGTGAGGGCGGGCTCGATGCCGGGCTGAGGGGGCGGGCCACGCTCGTTTTGCGATGCCAAGCGAGCCAGCCGCTGGGCTGCTCTCCCTTTCACCATACTGCCGCTGCCGTGACTTCCTGCTCGGCCTCCAGCACCCCCGCCCTGAAGAGTGATATCGCGTGTGAGTCTGTTCCATCTCTCCTGCTCCAGCCTCTCTCCGCTCGCCCCGCTTGCCACGCTGCGGCCCCGCTGCACGCGTCGCTGCCACCCACCCACACGCCTCCCTGCCATCATCCGCCTCACCTCCGCCGCGCGCCCTCGCTGTCTGCGCGCCTCTGCGTGCGCCGGAGCCAGTCGCGCGGCTGCCGGGCGGCCAGTCTGAGATGGAACTTGCGCTGACTGCTGCTGTGTAGATGGAGAGTGCTGACCCGCCTGTCCACCGCGAACCATGACGACTTGGCCTGAAAACCTCAGCAATGGCGCCCTCTACAACAACCTGCCCGACCAGCCCCAGGACCCGGCCCTCCTCAACCCGTCCATGTTTGCAGGCGCGAACCTCGACCTGAGTCAGCTGCAGCACAACCCACAGTTCCAGACGCGGATGCAGAATGGCGCGTTCCAAACATCGTCCATGGCCGGCCAGAAGCGCCCGCGCGAGGACAGCACCGGCGCGCCCCTCTCGCGCTCGCAGACACCCGGCCAGCAGGGCCAGTACGGCTTCCAGAGCAGCCAGCACGGCGGCGTCCAGCCGATGCAGGTCCCTTCACCCTTCCAGCACCTTCACCAGGGCGGCTCCGCCAACGCGACGCCGTCGCCCACGCTCCAGAATCAACAGTTCCGTCCCGGCATGCCCCCTCAGCGCGTGCAGACCGTCTCGCCTGCGCAGAATTCGAACGGTGCTCAGATGTCACCCATGAACTACATGCAAGGCTCGCCGATGCCGCAGGGGTACAACCAGAGCTTTGGGGGCGGGTCCTTTCCGGTCCAGTCGGTCCAGCCTGTCGCGCTCTCTGCAAATCTGCAGAACCGACAGCAGGAGGCCCAGCGCATGTACCAGATGCGACTACAGCAACAACAACAGCAACTGGCCGCGAGCAACATGGCCGCGCAGCAAAGACACCAGGCCGCGCCCATGCTCGGCTCTTCTGGGCAACAGCCAGGCATGCCAGTGACTAGAAACCCGGCGCAAATTCAGAACCAACAGGCGCAACGCCAATCGGCCGAAGCTTTTGTCAAGAACGTGTCCGCGCTGATGCAGCAGAGCGGACATCCGTTCAACCCCCAGCCAATGGTCGCAATGCGCCCTGTGAGTTACACGAAACTGTACAGCGTGGTCATGCAGCAAAAGGGCTCAAAACGGGTGACGGCCATAGGGGCGTGGCCTATGGTTGCTCAGGCGTTGGGCTTCCCCCAGCAACAGTTCCCGAACGCCGGCGAGGAGGTGAGACTTATCTTCGAGCAAAATCTGGGCCTCTACGAGAACGCCTACTATAAAAAGATGCAACAGCAATCAGCCGCCATGGGTAACACCCAGCAGGCGCAGATGGCGGCCGCCATGAGCACTGGACAGCAAATGTCACCCACAAAGGGAATGCCCCAAATGGGCCCCAACAATGTCCAAGCGCAACAGCAGCAATACCTCCAGCAACTGCAAAGGGCCCAGGCAATGCAAATGGATCAATCTACGCCGATGAAGAACAACGTCCCAATGGCGACAGCGAATGGATGGAGTACACCTCAGATGGACTCGAAGATGACGCCCGCTGCCTTGAATCAGCACCGGAAAAGCATGAGTCGTCAACTTGAAGCCACGCCTCCCCACTCGCAACCCCTCGGTTTCCCGTCGCCTTCACCTGGCCCAGACGTAAAACCTAGAGAAAGCGCTCCTCCGCCGGTTCCTCCAACATCAAACGGTGTAGAGCAGCAAGTCAAAGTGGAGCACGGGACTGAATACGAACCCAAAATCAAAGCCTTGGGTGCTACTCATGGAGGATTTGATATCTCAGCGATCTCTGATCTAGGAAAGAGTATTGCCACTCTGAGACCAAACATACCAACTCTAGAGGAAATGGGAGTAATCAATGTCCGAGCTCTCAGCATGAGCCTTCAGTCCGGTATCCATGGGGAGGTGAGATTGGCGCTGGACTTTCTGGTGCGACTATCACACGAGCAAAGAGTCCAGCTCGAGCTCGAAAAGTGTGAAGATCTCATCGATGCGATCATAGATTGCGCAGAAGAACAGCTGGACGCTCTCGCAGAAGATACCCCGGAGGTCTCTGATATCCTTGATCTGACGCCATATGAAGACGTAATCCGCAACTGCCGTACGGAAGTCGAGTCGATTCAGGAAATCCCAGAGTTTGGGACCCCATCATATGAACTCGATCGAACCGCCGAGCGACTTATAGCTGTCACCACGATCTTGAGGAATCTCTCGTTTTTTGAGTCGAATCACTCCTTGATGTCCAGTCCTATCGTCCTCAAATTCGTGTCGAACGCAATTCGACTCGTCGGCACTAGGATATTGCTGTTACGCACCCATGTCAACACCGCGGATTTCATGAAAGATCTGATCATTCTATTATCAAACATCTCGGATAAAATCGAGCTGCCTTCTCGGGAGGAAGCACACAATGTTCTCCACTTCCTCATATCATTTGCTCCTTGTCCAAGGCCTAGCTCTCCAGTGCGGTTCACGCCTTACAATCCAGCCATTCACCGATATCTCCCTCCCGCAGTCGACACCCTCGCTAAGCTACTCGCTCGAGACGATCCAAATCGAACGTATTATAAGCAGCTTTTCACCGCAGACGCGACATCCACGCCTCCCTATGATCTCCTTACGCGAGCTTTCGCACTCGCGGTTGCCGTTGTACCAGATCGCTCGAAACGCGGAGGACGTACTAATGAAGAAATGAGAATCGCCGAAGCTCGAAAGCCGTACCTCATGCAAGGCATGCTGGCCGCGGATATACTGGCCAGCCTAGCCCCTGGTCCGGATTCCGGGATCGCGCGGTCCTGGCTCGAGGCTGAGGACGGTTGGGCCCAGAGCCTTCTACGATTGTCTGTGTTTTTATTCTCTGCGGATGCAACTCCTCGAGCCCCTCCTCAACCAGGTTCACGGCAAGCGCCCAGAATGGACCACGATTTACAAGGCTTCCAGCAAATAACTCATCGAGCCCTCGCTATGCTGAAGAAGCTTGGAGAAAAATGCAAAGGGGGTGACCTCGTAATCGCAAACGGCAACGTAAGTGCCATCAAAATCGAGAATGGCGAGGCATCCGACGGTGAAGAAGGGGAATTTGATGGAGGATCCGTGAAGGAGGTCGGAGCCGCTAACAGATGGACCGTTAAAGCAGATGTTTTGCCGAAGAAGGAGATGTTACTCGGTGCGCTTTTGACACCAAACGTAGACTCGGTGGCACTGAGGCAACTGTGCAGTTTTGCTCGATTGGATGACTGAAACCCGGATGGGATGGGAACATGGTGCTCCTCAACAGTGGATGATTTGGATTTAGTCCCGAGCGGCATCGAGTGCGGATACATTCATGGCCCTGCATGGGGCTTTCATTCTTAGGGGATTAGCCAGGTATCAAGACAAGCTTCTAAGCTTCTTCGCCGTTGCTTTATACCGTGAAGGCGTTGCTTCATCTTGCATCTCGACGTCTCGGTCTAGCTCCCCAAATTCGTCGACCTGTCTATATTCTCAGGTGTTTTTTGCTCCTTTTCTTTCTTGGCGTGCGTTTGTGGTGTTTTTGATGGCAGGCTGCGCATTTGGGATGGATTGAGGCATGCGCTTGTTGACATTGGCGCTGCCAGATTGCGATCCTCGAGCATAAACTGGCGAAGCGAAACTTGTAGAAAAATGGGACTTGTCACTTTTATGGCTCTTGCCAATACATGCTTTGAAGGTCTTGAACGTGTGTCTGCTTTCAAAGACCAATTTGCTGAGGCGAACTCTGATCTTCAACTCCAGGAGAGTCACAACATATTATCAAACCTAGCAAGGACCAGTACAAACTGTAAAGTAACAGGAGCAGTAGGCTTGCTTCCAGTGTTGCTTCCGGGCGTTTCATGACTCTAGTAATCTACTTTTCTGATTGGATGCCGTATGTTGAGGGCAGGGAAGTTGAAGGTGCATGTGGCGTCTCGTATTCATATCTCCCCGCATTAGTCTTGGTATAATAGCACTATCACCACATTTCCTTCGTGCTCAGCCTCATTGCGTCTTCTACTTATCAATCATGGCAATCCCACTGCATGTCTGGAGTCTTTAGCCCCTCTAATTCCTCGAATTGCCGCAGCAATCTCACGTACTTCTAGGATGAACAACACCGCAGCTGAACCTCTTCGGCGTTAGGGTATACGGAAGCTGTTACATCGATGGAAAAAAAAGATCCAAACAGAAAAGGAGCCCCAACCTCAACGCACGGTTGAACCTGCCAGGATATCCACGGCCCAGAAAAGGTCGCAGCCAGCAAAGAAGTCAAACCCTCGCCGCAACACCGCCCCCGCCGACCTTCTGGCTTCCCACGCTCCTCCTAGCAGGATGCCTTCTAGACCAGTTGTTGCATCTCCTACACCAAGCGCGCCAGCGCCAGGACATCACCAGAGCCACCGCGCTACTACTGGCTACATTACAGCCTCGGATATTCGGGCTCAAATCGCGGCAGACGACGCGTTGCTCAGAAGACGGGCAACCGAAATTGAATACCACCACCAGAGAGAGACGATAGGCTTCATCCGGTTCGACCACGCGGCGGATCGTGCGATAGGTGATGCGAACATCAGTCCGAGTAGGACGGGGCCGGTAAAGCAGTGACCGTGGAGCAAGTGAAATGCGAAGTTTGCCTTAGCCTTAGTTTAATACGCGTAGTCAAGGATGGTTGAAGTCTACATACCTGAGCTATTCTTATTGTGTATCATCACTGGATCGCAGCCGTTTGCCATGGTCTCCTCTTCTCACTATACATCTCCAGCCGTGCAGATGAGCCAGCTGTGAGACGGCTAGGTTGTCTCGTGAGCTGCTACGCATGATACACTGTAAGAGGAGGATGGCATCAAGCCTTGTCAGATGTATCAACAGACCAAGTTGGATTATTAGTTAGAGTATGTTCCCTGATCTGGATCTTGGACATCGGACTGGCTCCAGTGTATAAATCATACCTAAATCCCATTTTGGCGTCTCATGCACTTGGCGTCCCTACAATCTCCGCTTCTGGTGGCAGATCGGTTCGATGCCGGCTCTGCTTGGTGTGACCCGCATGCTTTACTCTACGGGAAAATGAAGGGAGGCGGTGATGTCACGTTGTTGGAGTGAGGCGAAGGTCTATTAATAGCTTTAAAGTCCATCATGCGGCTCTTTTCCACCCCGGATCTCGGATCGTACCTTAAAAGGTAACCTTAAGAAGGCATGCTAACTAATAGTCATTCAGGGAGGGATACCGAGACGTACGTGCGATTGCTCCGCCTAACAATCGTCGATATGACTTTTCCAGCACTCACCTCAGACGGGCAATCCGCTCCCTTTTGGTTCCCATGGTTCAATCCTCGGACCGGCCCTAGCGTCATGTTGGCTGATCAAAGTCGCCGAATGTCAATCGCTTCTCAGACAATCCGACCTATGATCTAGCTTGGCTTCATGACACAGCGTCGCCAAGGTGAATACTCCGCAGTATGCGCTTGGCAGATTGGCAATTCAATCGCAACTAGAGTAGTGGGAGACATCATTGGGGTTCTTTGAGACTCCTAAAGACACCCTCACACCCTTGCGTAAAACCTTGAAATGCAGCTCATCTTGCACCATTCAAACTGCGGTTGACTCTTTCAAACCATTGACCATCACTATGTTTCAATCTAGTGCTTTTTTGAGTTTGTTGCTCTACACAGTCGTCCCAATTATTGCTCAGACTCCGCCGGGTTTCATTCCTTCGGCAAAGCAATCGCTGAACATTACGTATGGCACCAACAACGTCTCTCCCGCAGGCGAATTGATTCCACGGAGCGGTAAGAACCGCTATCCGACTTAACTCCCGCCAAATGCTGATACCGGTTTCTTAGAGACCGCGAACCCTCCCAGCATCTCGACTCCCATCTACCAAAATGCTAGCAGCGGCGGTCGTTCTATAATCTTCTTGATTGACCACGATGTTCCTCGAAATGGAAGCCGGGTCACCCTACTGCACTGGTTTGTTCCCAACGTCACCGTGGCCTCTGATGGGGGCCTCACCCTAGATATTCCTGTCCCCGGAGTGGGCCAGACGAGCGGTGCGCCGTATCTACAACCTTCGCCGCCTGCTGGCGACAATCCACACACGTACACCTTCCTCCTCTTCTCACAGGCACCCAACTTTACCGTTCCCAGCGAGTTCGCAAGCATCAACCCGCCCGCGGACTCGAATGCGAGGATCGGCTTCAACCTCTCATCTTTCGCCAAGGCGGCAGGTCTGGCGGCGCTCCTCGCAGCGAATTACATGCAGGTTCAGAACCTTACGGGCGTCACTGGAGTCGCGACTACATTCCCTCCAGTAACGGCGACGAGCTCGCCGACTTCGAGTGAATCATCAGGAGCGGCGCCTGCAACGAACACGGGCGCTGGCGCTGTTTTAGGGAAGAATGTGGGCCTGGGTGTTTTGGGAGCGGCGGCTGCAGCTATGGCAGCTCTTCTATAGGAGCTTGGAGGATAGATTTACTATGATATCAGCCCTTGCTTAATGTATAAGACCGATATAGCACTCTGTCCACATTGAAGCAGACGCCCTGTCATGGTGCTGGACTCGAAGCATCATGCAATGGTTCGTGTCCATGTAACCGCGTTGCATGCGGGCGCAGGGATCAAAGAATACATGAGCAATGGGGATCTCTGGTTGGTGAAGTCCACGAAAAGGCAAGCATGCACTTGAAAACGCAATTGAAGAGTTTTGCGGCGCAGCGGGAAACGGCCGGCGATATCGGAATGCGGGGCAGTCTTCCACAGTGCAATCGGGCACCTCCGGAGGGGCGTTTCTGCATAAAATCTTCGCATATGCCGTTGCGCCAGCCTTTGTGCTTCGTCTCAATTGCAGCTGTAATCGCTGTATCATTCTCTCTATATCCATCTTGACTCCCTCTTTGCTCTACCATTCCCCAGGCAGCAGATAATTCTACTTCTACCACCCAAGCGACAGGTCTGCGTCATTCACCAGGCTAGAATACTGAAACCGCGGCTGGTTTCCACACGATCCCCTACAATCCACCGTTACCACGCCAAAGTACCCACAGCTGGGTCAGGGCGCTTTATTGCGGCCAACGTGACTGCATTGACGCATCAGTGGTAGAATACTTCTCCTCCAGCCTCGACGCCCACCTACGAACCCTCATCCGACCTCTCACCTCAATACGCAGCCATGTCCGTCACTGTCTGCCTTGGGAGCCAATTCGGCGATGAGGGCAAAGGCAAGCTGGTCGATATCCTCGCCAACAACGTGAGCCTCTGCTGTAGAGCACAAGGAGGAAACAACGCCGGTCACACGATTGTCGCGAATGGCATAACCTACGACTTCCACATTCTGCCCAGCGGCCTGGTCAATCCCAAATGCATCAACCTCGTCGGAAGCGGCTGCGTCGTTCACGTGCCGTCTTTCTTCAAGGAGCTGGAGGCATTGGAGGTGCACGGCTTGAAGACGGACAACCGCATCTTCATTAGCGACCGCGCCCATGTGGTCTTTGATCTACATCAGTTGGTGGACGGATTGGAGGAGGTTGAGTTGGCCAGCTCATTCATAGGTTGGATGCCAGTTTGAGTCCTAAGACTGCTGTGATTGCGAGCACTGACGTGTGTGGGAACAGGCACAACGCGGAAAGGCATAGGTAAGCTTAGAGGTCACGAGCGCTGGTGTATACCGCGATCTGACTTTTACAGGACCAACGTACAGCACCAAGATGACGAGGAGCGGCATTCGTATTGCTGACCTTTTCGACGAAGAAGTCTTCGAAGCGAAGCTACGTCGACTGGCCTACGGCTTCCAGAAGCGCTTCGGCGATCTGTTGAAATACAGTGTGGAGGATGAGCTCTCGAAATTCAAGGTATCTTTGATGCTACAACCATCTACTGGCTAGAATCTGCGAAGCTCATCAATTTGACAGGAATTGCGAGAAAAGCTCGCACCTTATGTCATCGATCAGATCCCATTGCTGAATGACGCAAAGGCAAAGAAGAGTGAAATTCTAGTTGAAGGCGCAAATGCGATCATGCTCGACATTGATTATGGGTATGTAATCTACTACAGCAAATGGCAAAAAGGATACTCACATCAGTAGCACGTACCCCTTCGTCACGTCTTCCAACACTGGCCTCGGGGGTGTCCTAACAGGATTGAGCTTGGGCTGGAGGTCCATCAGAGAGGTAGTAGGAGTCACGAAAGCAGTAAGTTGCCTCCCAATAAGTCTATAAGGAAATCGCGTACTAAATCACGTTAGTATACCACTAGAGTTGGATCGTAAGCCCCAAAATGAAGTGATCCCTACGAAGCTGGGGCTAACAAATTAACACAGGGGCCCCTTCCCAACCGAACAACTAAACGAGGTTGGCGAGAAACTCCAGGGAGTTGGCAGAGAGGTCGGTGTCACCACTGGACGCAAGCGACGATGTGGCTGGCTTGACCTCGTCATCATCAAGTACTCTCACGACGTGAACGACTACACATCCCTCAATCTAACCAAGCTCGATGTTTTGGATGACTTCGAGGAACTCAAGGTCGCCACTGGTTACTCGTACCAAGGGCAGAAGCTCGAGTCTTTCCCAGCCAACCCAGAACTGTTGGCTAACGTTGAGGTTGCCTACGAGACTCTTCCGGGATGGAAGAAGCCGACGACAGGCGCGAAGACCTTCTACGACCTTCCTCTCAACGCTAGGAAATACGTTGAGTTCATTGAAAAGACTGTTGGAGTGCACATCAAGTGGATTGGTGTCGGGCCGAACCGCGAGCATATGATCGTCAGGTAAGATCTGAGGCTAGCTAGTTAGAGACGTATTGAGGTAAGTCGTTTCATGCTCTCTATGGACATCGGGGACTGCTTTTCATCTGACCGTCAAGCTCGAGGACTCAGCCGCCAAGGGCGAGAAATCTATGTACCTACTCTAGAAGCACAAAAAGATAGAGCGGTAATTCTCCCAATAGACACGGTCCATAACTATGATCGGAAAATCTAAAAAATGCCAGAGTGGTGAAATTTGAGCGTGATCTATTCTAATTCAGCCAACCTAGCGCACTCAAAATCCATTCCCCACTAAGACAGTGGCTAAACAACGCTCCTATGCACTCATGAGGAACCGAAAGTCTTGACTCTCTCCGCGTCAGGTAGGAACGGCTTCTCCTTAGCAGACCCCTCTGGGTGGCCAAACACCAACTCGGCCTTCAGGGAGTACGTGTCGGGCAGGCCGTACTTCTTGGTGACGGCTGGTCCAGTGAGGTTTCCGTAATGCTGCAGATTGGCGCCATAGCCCTCGAGCTCGAGCGCCGTCCACGCGTAGATCTGCGCCATGCCGCTGCCGTGCTCTGACCACTGGGGGAAGCGGTCTGCATACAGCGCAACATTCTCCTGCATGCCCTTGATGACTTTCCCGTCTTCGAAGAACAAGACGGTGCCGGCGGCCGCGCCGAACATCTTGGTGCGCTCGACGCCCTTGGCGAAGGTCTCCTCGTCCGGCACGACCTTCTTAAGCTCGCCGGGGACGATGTCGTTCCAGTAGGCGTCATGCTCGGCGCCGAAGAGAATGACGACGCGCGAGCTCATCATGTTGAAGGAGCTGGGCGCGTGCTTGACGGCTTCTTGGATGACGGTCGTCAGCTTGGCGTCCGAGAGGATGGCCTTTTTGGAGAGCGGGTAGATGGAGCGTCTGGCCGCGATGGCGGAGATGAAGGCGGAAGACATGGTTGCGGGACGATTGAAGATAGAGGAGTTTGACTGTGTGTAGAATGTATGTTGAAGTGAGGAGATGTAGGTAGAGATTGAGGTCTTTTTTAGTGTATATGTGGGAACCCGGAACAGAACCGCCTTTCTTACAAAGATATTTATAAGATAAGCGCAATCGAGTCTCGAAAGGTACGGGCCGATTGTTTCATGGTGGGCCTGAGCTAGCCACCAGCTGGAGGATTCCAGACAGAGCCGGCCCTCTTCTGAGGATCGATGCGTGTGAAGAGTGCGGCAAGTCGGATCGGAAGATGCGGGATACCACTTCCCTATCCCGATACGTTGACTAGCTGTTTCAACACCCCAATGTGCACCCTACCCGACCCCCTGTGTGCACGTGACCCAGTGCCGCTGTGGCTGAGTTCGGCTCAGGCCCGGCTCAGCTTCGGCTCAGCTCTCCTCAGGCCGGCTCAGCTTCGGCTTAGTTCTCCTCAGGTCTGCTCACCCTTGCTCACCCTTGCTCACCTGTCCCCACCGGCTGCGGCATAGTCTTAGATGGACCTCGCTAGAAACTGTCAAGTTTTAGCAAGGGGCCTCAAATCTGTCCCCGGGTCACAAATTAGGGCCCCATACTATTTTGTATGCCTTATAAGCTCAAGCTACTTTTGTCACGGCGCAGGGGCGGTCGGGACCTAGCTAACTCAGGCAGACAGGGGCGAGGTAATGACAATTGAATTGCTACAGATCCTATGCGTGCTGACAGACAGCAGAATAACAAGACGTAGCTCGAAGAGCTACATAGGTCCTCCAGGGCGCTTGCAAGATATTCTATCGCCAAGCCGCTACAGCTGGAGTATCTTAACTCTGTTCCAGCTTGCTATCAAGCTCTACAAGTTGCGGTAGTATGCAGCAGCGTGCCGCAGTACGCAGCAGTATGCAGCAGTTGTCACGATAGTGCTACAAGCAGGAAGATATAAGCTCAAAGAGGAGCATTAATTAGAAGCTAAGTACAGTACTAGGTGGAGAATCAAGACGTTGTGTAAAGAACAGGAAGACGGGGCGGGCTCTGTGAGAATATATGGGGGGGGGACGTACGCGTGGCGCGTCAACTATCGTTTAGCTCGTGCAGAATTGGGTATTGGCCCCACGTGTGGCGCGGGGCACGTACGGAGTCAGGTGATAAAAGGGGGGCGGGCGGAGTAGCTCGAGTTGAGGTCGGTTGTTGCATGTTGTTGCAGTTTGTTGCAGTTTGCCACAGTTTATGCCGCAGTTTGTAGTGTGTAGGGTGTCGCGGGTGCTTACCGTGATAGATACCTTTTATCAACGCCATAATAGCACAGATCCACAGCTACAGCACCAAGAGCTTAAGGAGCTGGTACAGCTAATACATCTCCCATCTCTTAAGGACTTATTAGAAGATGAATTTAACTACATTCCACATAAAGATTAAATTAAAGGCAAAGCCATAGGCGAAGGCATAAGCAAAGCAACAGCATTAATACGAACTCGCGTCTAAACTGCCAAATTACCATTTTATCTACCTACTCTAGCATCTACAACATCCTCGCCTTAAAGCAATCTAGATATTAGCGAATAGCCGTTTTAAAAGCCGTTATAATAGCCGTTTTAAAAGCTATCTAGCTTAATTAAAAGCTCTATAATAAGCTTACTCTCTATATCTATAAAATTAAGTAATATATAATAGTTATAAGTATAAAAAAAACATATAATTCTAAAAATTCTAATTTAAATAGGGGACTACTAATCGTACACCCCCTAATTCCTAGACGTACACCCCCTTTTCACTGCGCGTACACCCCCTCCCCCCCCTGTCGCTTCACCACCTTCTAATTGGCTCGGAGAGCCCGGAGCTTCCTCCGGGCATTCACCCTTACGTCTCTCCACACGTGATGCTATACGCGAGGCCGTACGTGATGCTATACACGAGGCCGTACGTGATGCTATATAAAATGGAGAGGCTGTACAGCCATGCCCATTTTATATAGCATTATACATAAGCTTACGTACGAGCTCATATATAAGCTCACGTAGTCTAAGTCTAAGTATAAGTATAGAATAGAATTCTATTCTAGAAGTGCCTACGTGCCTAACAGCATGCTAAACCTGTCAAAACCTCACCTTATTACGGCTCCTTTGCATCGAGCCTGGCCCCGTAGCATCGCCGCCTGCACCTACTCCTCATACTGATCTACATACGCCTCAGCCTCATACTCATATTGATACTCCGCAGGCCCTAGAACATTCCTACGGCTCTCTGGCCGGCCTGATAACTCAGCAGTGCCTACAGCGACACCTGTTGGGCGCTGAGACCCTCCTAGACGTGCCTGTAGAGCTGCAATCTGTCGTAGAATGTCCGCACGGTCATCCTCTTGTTCCACCTGAGGTTGAGGCTGAGCACTATCTTGCCTCTGAGCTCGTGCCCTTTTCCGCGGTACCTTATCCTTTGCACCAGGCGGCCGGCCACGCTTCTTAGCCGTAGGTGTAGCCGTAGGTGTAGGCGTATGTGCTGCCGTATGTGCTGCCGTAGGTGCTGCCGTAGGTGCTGCAAGGGCCGGATCAATTTGAGAAATATCAATACCAGTCCTAGCAGCTGTAGCCGTCGACTGAGGGGCATCCTGGCGGACAGGGATGGCCGGATTTTGCTGTAAAGACGCTGGCAAATGTTGTAGAGCTGTGCCTTGTTGTCCATCTTGTTCGCCTCCACGTTGAGCTGCCAAACCTATACCTATAGCAACTTTAAACCTAGATGGATCTCTCTGGGTATTGTTGTACGTATGGTGACCTCTCCTCTTAATAGCAGGGCGGCCATGTCGACGCTCAACAACGGCAGGATCAAGTACATCCTCAAAAGGTCCAAAAGGAATAGCCGGTTGTTGTATGCCTGGCCGAGCAAACCACCAGTGGTGATCTATCTCATCTGGTTGTATATAGAGCACGGGATCTAGATAATTTGCAAGCGCCCGATGTAGACGATTGTATAGCTTGTGAGCGCACGGCATGCCGTATATATTTGTGAACGTATAAGTACAGTTGTTCGGGTTATATTCATTTAATTTTACCTTCTTAAGTTGCTTCTTAAGGATAGCCAATGCTTGCGGTGTAACCGTACGGAATAGATTACAGAATTCAGCCTCTCTTATATTATAAGGAGTTCTAGCATGCCACTTCGCCTTATAATCCTTATATTTAGATTTAGTAATAAGGATAAAGTTCTAGATATTAAGGAGTATATTAAATAAATGGCTAGTTAACACCTAAAGGAAGCCCTTAAGCAGGCCGTGTACGCCCTTATTCCGTGATATAATACTATAAGAAACTCGGTTAGCATTATATACCTAGATTTGCATCTACTTAACCTAAATCTTAATACTAAAATATGCGAATTTAAAGCCTAAATTTTATAAGGGGTTTGCTGGTATATAGGATAACTAGCGCTAAAAAGGGTAAGAATAGAGCTTAAATATTAATTAAGAAATAGAATATAAGCAGACACTTATATAGTTCTAAAATACTAAGCTATTTAAGTATAGTAAGTTGCCTATTTCTATTTATATAGCTACTACTCTTCCTTTATATACTCTATAAGGCTAGGCCTCTTCTTATAGTTATTAAGCAGCTTATTCCAGGCCTTATTAAATTAATTAAAAAGTTCCAGCTTTATTATAGCGGTTTAATAGGTAATAAATTTACTTTTTTTCTTTTACTACTTTTTTTCCTTAGCTGCCTTCTATTCTTCTATATTATTCTCTATTAGCGCATTAGTATAGCCTATAGGGAATATCGGTTTATTTTTATATACCTTAGCTAGCTTAGCGTTAATATTTTTTTTAATATACTATACGTATAAAAGGCGCAGGATATCTAGCTATTATTAATATAGCGCGTTTTTTAGAGCTTATTCCTTATCTATTAAAAAAACGCGTAGTATAATAGAATAGTATTAAAAGAGCTTAAAAAGCTACTATATATAACAGGTTATTTTTTCTATACCTTCTAAGTATTATATACTAAGGCAGGGTATAGGTTAAGTTATTATTAGAGTGTAATAGTTTTTAAAAGGTAAGGTAAAATTAATTTTAGGTATAAGACAGGGTTATTACTTTTAATAGATAGTATTAAAGTTTTAAGTTAAATATAAGGTTTCTATTTATATAAAGAAGCGTTCTTATATATAGAAGCTCTATTCTAAAAAACCCTATACTTATTCCTAAATTGCTATAATTTAGTAATAATTCTGTACTTATTTCTAGATTACTATAATTTAGTAATAATTCTATACTTATTCCTAGATTACTATAATTTAGTAATAATTTTTGTATATAACCTTCTATTAGGTGCTATTCCTAAATTATTCCTATCTACTAGCAGTTTATAGGGAAATCTAGGATTTCTATTTAACTAACTTTTATTTTTTAAGGTTTTATAGTTTATTCCTATATTATTAATCTAATCTACTTTTTTATCTCCTTAAGTACCTTAGTATTTAGGTAGTTTATATTAGGGTTTATAATACTTACTTCCTTTTCTAAGGCTTTTAGCCTAAAAGTATTTCCGTGGTAGGGTTTTAGATAAATAGCTGGCGATGCCCTATCTACTAGGCCGTTATTATACTATTCTATTTCTTTTTCTATAATATTTAATAAGGTTAGGAAAGCTAAAGTATCGCGTTTTAATACTTTTATACAGCGCCTTAAGCTATATAAGTATATACTACTTACTAAGGTGGAAATACTATTCTATTCCGCCTGCTAAAACTATAGCCTAGTTTATATAGTTTTTAATAAGTTTGCTTATTACGCTAAGTGCGTTTAATCTAGGCGTACTAGTTGTAATATAAACGGGGCGAACTTTATAAAGTATAGGTTTACTATATTATATATTATTTTCTGCTAACTCTATAGTTATAAAACTTAATTCTAATATTTATTAGTTAGAAAAAAAGGGCGAGGCTGCTCTAGCTAAGTTCCTGCGGCTTTAGAAGCAAAAGCAGTTGCTTATTAAGTATTGCTCTAAAATACTTTATTATAGTTTCTTTTTTTTTAAAAAGTTAAAAAAGAAGAACTAGAAAAAGGCTAAATAGAAAAAGTAAGAGCGTATTAAAAGGGAAGCCTTACCTTTTTTTGCTATATCTACTTCTATTACGTTCTTTAATCTGTCGGATTTTTCCTAAATAGCTAGCGCAATATTGCTATTATTCTAGGCTATTTCGGATTCTAGCGGTAAAACTACTGTAGGAGTTTCTAATAGTTTACTAAACTTTTAACTAGTTCCTATATATTTTTAGAGGTGCTATATTCTTTCTACTTAATTAAGTACTTTTTTTTCTAACTATTTTATCTAGAATCCAGGATTTACTTAACTTTATACTTATTATTATTATTAACCTTAATATTATTCTCTAGCTTAGTATTAGGTAGTACGGGTTTTAGTAGCAATATATAGAAAACACGAAATGGAACAAGAATTAGGCAACTAAACACCATAAGCTTACAAAAGCAGAGAGCTCAATTATCACGCTCTTACGAACGGAACACATAGGGCTTAACGCATACCTGCACCGTATGAGGGTGCCCAATCACCCTTCGCCCGCGTGCCCCTGCGGGCATATACCACAGTCTCCAAAGCACGTAGTAATGCACTGTGAACGACACCGCAACGGCAGAGGCGATATATTCTTTAAGGCCAGAACAAGAACGTATATGCAGCTGTACAAAGACCACAAGGGAAATAAGGCCGTTTCGCAATGGTTCCTGCACCAGACAGACCTCCTACCCTACCTCTCTATAGCTAGAGAGATGGTAACGGAAAAGCTGGCTATACAGCCAGCCGACTCGTATAGCCACGCCCCAAGAACAGAACCACACGCACGCACGCACATTGCATAGCCACAGGCACGCCCGCAACAGGGCAACCCCCCTAATTTCCTATTGTCCTTCAATTCAATACCTCGGCTTTTGAGAAAAAGGGCACGCGCGTACGGTAAGGGCACGCGCGCCCTAACGCGGACCCCGGACCTTACTAACCTTCTGGACACCGTACAACCCTGGAACCTAGGGCCTACGGACACCGGATCGATCCTGGAGAATGTATCAAGATGGCTTACTCCGTGGTGATGCTCACAGAGCTGCCACGCGTCCCCCACAGCCGCGCAGAAACAAAAGGAACGCAAGGCGTTATACACTGTAGAAAACAAGGTTTTCACCCGACCGCTATAGAGCGAACGGTTTCCCCTTGTAAATAAAACCTAGATAGCACTGCCGCATAGACCCTAACGGGAGCTAAATCGGCCTAATAGAACCTAATAATAATAATAATAATATATAGAAAACCGGGTGTATTTTTATTCTATTAGGTAGCCTAAGCTTATAGTTTACTAGGCTAATAACGTTCTATATTTTAAATAGTCTAATTTTAATATAGTTTAACTTTATACTTAGTTATTTTATTTTAATATTTTTATAGAGTAGGTAAACTTTATCCCCTTTTTTAAAAGTTAGTATAACACCCCAGTATTAATTATAATATCTTGCTAACCTTAGTATTAGGAATTAGATATCTATTAAAAGCTACCTCTATAGCTTTTTAATATTTTTAACTAATAGCAGTACCTTCTAGGCTTTTATACTATTAAGTTAGGGTTTTTAATACGCCTTTAGATCGAAACTATAGTTTATAAAAAAGGGTAATACCTTTATTATTTCTATAAATATGCTATTATAGGCGAATTAGGCTATTAGTAGTAGTAATACCTAATTATCTAGCCTATAATTAATATAGTATTATAGGTACTATTCTAAAGTTTAATTAAGCTTTTCTATTTACCTGTCCGTCTAGAAGTAAAACGCTATAGAAAGCTTATACTTTATTCCTAGTTATATTATTATTAAATTCTATTACGCTGGTATAGCTCCCGTTAGGGTCCATGCAGCTGTTCTATCTAGGCTAGTTTACAAGGAGAAACCGTTTGCTGCCATGCAGCGTTCGGATGAAAACCCCGTCCTCTGCGGCGTATAGCGCTGAGTGCTCTTCTCGTTGTTGTATAGCTATTGGGGACACGTGGTAGATCTATCAAGTCCACCACGGAATAAGCCATCGTGATGCGTCTTCCTAAATCTGTCCGGGTTTTGCAGTCGTCCTCCTAGGCGCGGGTCGAGTTGATTCCGGAGTAGTGAGCTGGTTTAGGATTAGCGTGAGGGCACGCGTGCTGTCGTTTCGCACGCGTGCCCTTCGTCAAGGCGTTGGTCCTTGAATTGAATGATGTATGTGGGGGTAGTGCCGTATAGGCTGCGATATATGTGGGGGCTGCGGTATACGGGTGGATACAGCTGTTGGGTGGGTGCGTGATATAGGCGGCGGTGGCGCTGTGCGTGCGTAGTGTGCGTAGTATGCGTAGTGTGCGTAGTATGCGTAGTATGCGTCGTATGCACAGTATGCATAGTATGCGTAGTATGCGTAGTGTGCGTAGTATGCATAGTATGCGTAGTATGCGTAGTGTATATAGTATGCGCAGTATGCGTGGTATGCGTAGTATGCGTGGTATGCATAGTTATGTAAAGTTGTAGGAGGTGGAGTGCCTACGTCTCCGCCTCTACCATCTCTCTGGCCACCGAAAGGTATGGCAGGAGGTCCGTCCTTTGGAGGAGCCATTAGGCCACGGCCTTTCTTCCTTTCTGGCTTCTGTAGAGCTGTTTATACGTCCTCGTCTTGGCCTTCTGGAACAGCTCGCCCCTGCCCTCAACGTGTCTTCCGCAACTCATCACAACGTGTCTTGGGGATTGGAGGCTATGCCCACAAGGGCATGCCGGCGTCGGGTGGCCGGGCACTCTTATACGGTGGAGGTAACCGTTGAGCCCTATATACTCCGTCCGTAGGTTCGTGATAATTGTGCTCTCTACCTTTGTAAGTCCTTTGTGTAGTGCCTCTTGTTGTTTGCTCTATTTAGTGTCGAGTGCTGGTGTTGGGGGTCCTTGGCGTAGTTCTTTACGGTAGGCTTCCTATTCCTTCTTCCACTTCTCTTTGTATTTATCCTGGATCATGCCACGCCTCGTGCGCCTATAGGATTCTTCCGATTCGCCTTTATATCGTGCGGCTAGCCGTAATGCCTTCACTGCGAGCTTACTGAGTTTGTCGCGCCTGCTTGGGCCGTACCGTGGTGTTCCTTTCGGCCTGTATTTAGCACGGACCGTTTCTCTTATACAGCTGCATTGGGTTTCAATGTGCTCGCGGGCTGGCCTCTCGCGTGTGCGGTCCGCGTAGGCCACTGTAAGTTCCTCCAGCTTTAGCCGGAGTAGAGGGTATAATATTTTGTGCTCTATTACCCTAATATTTGTTATCTTATATACCCCTAAAATAGTATAAAGGCACTGGTTCTATGCTATTTTAAGCTGCTTAATTTTTGTTTTACTAATCTGCTTTTTTATACCTAGTATAGTATACCTGTCACGATAGCGCTACACGCGAGAGGTCGAGGGCTCAAAGAGGAGCGTTGATTAGGTGCTATGTACAATGCTACGTGGAGAAT